ATGCAATCGTAGTCTTGCAGTGTAACTCATGCATTTGGCATTGATATATATCTCATGATACTACTGATTTCTGTAATGGGGACAGATCACAGTACTGCTGCAGAAATTATTAACACTATTACTATGATTACTGTAATTTTAGGGGGTTATATTTTCACTGATACTTGTGAGCCACTTCACACGTAATTCCTAGATAACATGATAGCCAATATTTAACTTCTGAATGCTTATGAAAACTGCTTCAGTTATTTCATTACAAAAGACATTCAAGGTAGTTAACAAAATTCCTTTGAAACATTTGCTTTCTGTCATACAGTAGCAGACAGAAAGGATGCAAAATGATACCTCCTAATTGGTAAAGACCAACTCCAACTTGTTTCTAATAGCCCCAAAAACAGGTATAAATCTTTAAAAATGGTCTAACATGGACATATTTTCACTTCATGTGTTAAAGGATATTATTGCTAATGATTCTGAGTTTTACATTGTATCACCAGTTCAATGGGAAGAAAACTCTAACTGATGATTGTAACTGTTTTATACAGGTAAGGTTTCAAACCTAGCAAAAATGAATTCAAAAGACAGACTAATCACGCAAAAAGGGAGTTCAGGCTTATGCCACGCACCAGTTTTACACAGATGTGAACTTCCTTGTCCTCCTTTGCCATCCCAGAATCCAATTACACACCTAAGCCACATGGTACAGAAATATGAAGGATTCACTGTAGAGAAACAAAGGTTGCTAAAGAACATAATGAAACAGGTCAGAAGATGGCTTTTCAAGTTTCTAAGTCCAACAGATCCAAAACAGATCCAAATGGCCTTTTTGTAAGTAGTTTCTAATGTAATTCATGAACTTAGAACACAGTTTGCAATTTCTCTCATGGCAAAGTCTGTCACAAAGCAATTTATTGCTAGAGGAGAAGTTGGCAAGTTAATGGGGGCATCAAAGTTAGAGCCAATTAGCTCTGCAAGGAATCCATTCCAGTGACCGCTGGCAACAGGTGCTTCTGGCAAGACAACAGTCAGAAGCGGGGTCAGGGTGATCACATGGACAGTAATTGGGCAATTGATTAGCTACCTGCCAATGTTTAAATAATTTACCAAATAAAGCAACAAGAATCCCCTGCCAAAGTGAGGTTTAAGATGGGAAAAACATATCTGTTCTTTGTAAGTGTGTGTATGCGCACACAATCAGTGTAAAGACTACCTTAAAATGTAACTATCAAAATTCTTTAAAAGCTGGATTAGTGAGAGATTTTGGTGAGACACAAATAGGAAACTAATTTGAAATGATTCCAATTCCCAAAATATCATTTTAGAAATGATTAAGACGACTTTATCCATATTTAAGAAGCTCTGAAAGCTTCCAGGGCAAGCACTGCTGGTAAAGGTAATGACTTCTATTAGTTCAACTACTACAATATCTAGTGGAATACACATAAACCCTGACAAGTTAAAGAATTCTCTAAAGATCATATCACTACAGAGTAGAGTCAAAAAGAAGTGATGACAGCATTTGAAATCAGCCAATTCCTTCTAACAATATTGTTTCCAATGTCAAGGAGCCTCTGCAGAAAGCAAGCTTTAGTCCTTCAAACTCAGACATCTGCTTTGTGTGGCATCCTTTAATCCATTTTTATTCTTTCAGGTTGTCCATCTAGCCCTTACATGCCAAGAAAGGGCAAGCACACAAAAGCAAAAAATCATAACACCAAACCAGTTCTGTGAGAAAGAGGCAATGTTAAGACTCTGCATTAGTTGTGATAAATGCATTTCAGAAGCCACGCGCCAAGAGGATCAGATTAATGTGTTCACAGGCCACAGAAATACTACTCTGATTTCAATTCCTACTAATTGCTATTGTGAAATGCCATATTGGTTAAGGTTTTACTGCTGGAGCAGATAATAGTGGGATTCAGTAGACAGAAATAGTGAGTTATAATTTGAATTTAAGATTGTTAATCATTAGTTAGTCTGCCTCAAGGCTTTATTTAATGGCTTCTTTCAAGTAATATTTAAATATTTCATAGACTTAAATACTTTATCCAGATTTACTTGACTTATTCAAAAGGTATTTACCTTTGGCCAATTCACATGCCACTTAAATTATCCTGGACCGACCAGTTCATACTCCCTAATAAAAACCTCCTTCCGAATTGCGCTCCTACCCAAAAAGTGCCACAGTCCAGTGTGTGCTGGCACCTCTGCTTTTCTGCTTCTACCAACAGCCCCAGAGCCAGAAACCTCTTGCCACCACCTGGCTTGGGCCAACATCTCCAAGTCCTCTCAAAGAGGAGCATCAGGACACAGCTCACACACATCTGGGCTTCACTGCCTCAACTCAGTTTGATGTTTTTGCTTTAGGAGAAATTTCACATAAGTGTTAGAGACAGAGCATGATGGGTGAAAATGTTTTAAAAGCTTATATTTGTCTATTGCAGATCTATGTTATCTATTTTCTCCATAAGCTTCTGAAATCTGGGCTCACTGAGATCAGAACTCTATTTCTGCTATTCAGTGAAGATGCAACCCTCTTATATCCAGGCATTAATTTCTCCCACATCCTCTGAGCTCATAAGATTGAATTTGGATGACTTGCATACAAAAATCTTTTTATACTCACGTAAAAGCCCTGACAGAGTCATTGTCTTGTCTTTAGTTAACTTTCTGATGGGTCTGGAGATAAGTTAAGGACATGACAGAGTTGCATTTCATGTCTATTTTCAACTACCCTTTCATAACAGTAGCACCTCCTGTTGGTACAGACTTGTTGCACAACACAGTGAACAATGTGGTAGATAAGCACGTGGGGTATGTAAGTTATACCAGGAAGTCCTCCTATCCTTCACAATGACAGTTCAAGACATGACTTGCTACTGACCTGGGGAATGTGTATTATCACTTTAACTTACCAAACATCTCTGTCAAAGGAGGGCCTACCCTCGAGTGAGTAATTCCTCTGGAGAGCTCTCCACAGAGGCACAGAGAAGAGACTGTAACTGAAGCAAATGCCGATTATGCCTTGTGCTTTGTTTAATTCTGTGTTCTTCCCTTTTTCTTCTATAATAAAAACAACTTTACCTGAGAGCTGTGACTATTTGGCTCACTTTTAGCTATGAACAAGAAACTAACCTGACATTAAGTGCTGCGCATGCCTGCTGGTGGAGGTAGGAGGGAATGGGGAAGGAGAGATGCCTCATTCCAGAACTGTTTTTAAGGGAGATAATAATCAGAGTTTTCCTCTAGTTTTAATAGGCTATAAACATTCAGTATCATTTAAATGCAAGCTTACTTGATGGTGAGCAACTGAAAAGAAAATGAAAATCCTCCCCTTCCCAAGCTACCCTTCAATCTATGCATTGATGCTAGGAACTGCCAGTTGAACAACAAATGTAATTAATCTCTCTGATCTAAAGATATTACAAACTGCTCTTGCAAAATTCAGCTTTGGGCACGTTTTATGTTTCCTGGTCCTCCTTCCTACTTTTTCTTGTGAATTTCTGCTTTGTACTTTCCTTTATTACTTTTCTGTTCTCGGGAAAGCTCTTGTGTTCTGCATTTCTATTCCTATACAAAAAACAGTAAAGCAGTGGGAAGACACTGATCTTCACTGTTTTGTTCTGTACAGTCTGAACTGCTATTATATTCCAAGATTTCCAACAAAGGTACTGATCTATGTTAAACGGACATCAATGGCTGCAGAGAACATCTAAACTTGCTTTTACTAACAACACTTAACAGACTCCTTTATATATAGTTCACATTTCTAGACGTCTGCAAACCACAAACTAAAGATCTGTATTTAATGTAATACAGCAAGACACAGACACAAGATCACAAATGACACAGATGTCCACAGACGGACAGATTCAGAAGGAACTGCATATCAGAGAAGGAAGATTGTCCTTTTTTGATAAAAACAGGTTAACTGCAAGCTGTCAGGAGACCTGAAACCATTTATGCATTTAAGACAGATTCAGTTCATAGTTACACGAAGGGGATGGGAATAGGAGGGCATTATTCTGTAGTAGGTAGAGGGGGGGGAAAAAAAGTTGTAGGAGTTACATAACTCCTAACCAAGATGTTTGATTGAACTAGACTCTACCATGGGTTGTTTTCCCGTTCTGCTGAAGAAGCATAAACATTTCTATTACAGATGAACTCAGATATTTTTTTCTTCATCCACTGAAAATAAAGAGTATTATTCTCACGTATCTCACAACAGCATTTTATCTATCATGCTAGCATATTCTTAACATATTCCTGAAGTTTTCAAAATTCTCCACTGAAAGCCAAAAACCTTAAGAACAATATTTATTAATACAATGAACCCCATCATCCCCCCACTCTTACAAATGCTCTGTAACAATATGAAAAACATATAATTCAATAAAAATACTTCTAATTAGTTAAAATTCTTTTTATAAACATGCATAACAACATGTCACATCAGACAGCAGAAACCACAGTAGCGAGCCTGGGATTTGTGCAATCACTCTGAAAAGACCTTAAAAAGAAAACTGTTCAGATCCCTTTTTCAGAGTGGCAAATTACCATTAGACATTTCATGAAAGTTGAACAGCTCTGCTGCTTGAATTGAGAGGAAATGGTGTCAGTAGCTGATACTGATAGGACCCTGTTGAGTAAGGGAAATGAGTAAAACAGTAAGACTGAGTGAATATCTGGTGACGGTCTCACTTACTTTCTTTTATTCACAAATCTCATTTCTATTGCCACACTTGACTTTGGCTATTCCCAGACAGTAATGGAAATCACACAGGCTAGTTCTGGTTTTCATTTTCACTTTTTCACATCAATACTCTTACAAAGCAATTGCTGTTCTAATACAGAATAAAATTGCATACTTTGACATCTTTAGACTAGGTTAATACATTTATTCTCCAGTGTCGTTCTTCACACGCATCTTTCAAATCTACAGTCTGCTTCATAGCTTCCAGCAGTGAAAATTCGGTTTCTAAAAATAAGAGTTTACTTACTGAGCATTTGAAATGCAATCACAGTTTGATAGTTGATGTCGATGATTTCCTTCCTTCTGACAGCCAGCCTTTAAATAACAGGATCTAATTTCCCCTTCAGAAAAAAAAAAAAAGTATATATTAAAGAATTCAGTTACATGATATGATCATTTGTTTTGCAAACAAATTTATCAAAAAATATTAGGCATGTGTATAAATATATATCAGGTTTCAGTTAGCAAACTAGGTTTATCTTAAAGTTCAGAAAGCAAATTAACACTCAAAAAACTGAAAAATTTACAGAAAACAAGACAAATTCAAGTGAAATTTTGACCTCTTCTTCATAACTAACCATAAGAATCCATGATAGCAAAGAAAACAAATCAAAACAGCATCCATAGAAACACATTCATAAGAGGCTTATGGACAATGCTGTCATTTAAATGCATGTAAGGTAAATGGAAAGACCATCTATTAATACAAGCTCACTGTAGAACAAATCTTTTCTTTCTGCTCAGGAAGGTGAGGTGAAAAGGTAAAAACAGAGAAAATTCTGCTAAAACCAAAGACATTGCACTCTCCTTTTGCTCAACAGGAAGAAATGAATAGACCCTGTTAAACTCAAGCCTAAGGTCATGCTATTCTGCTGCTCTCAGCCTCACTGCACACAAGGAACTGTAGGGCTGAGAGCAAGGCCAGAAGGAATCAGCAGAAAAACAAAAGAACGCTGGGATTAGGATCCCAGCTGACAGGAATACTCATTCACACTGGTTTTGAAGGCAGCTTTAAGGGAAAGTGTGGTGGCTGCAATTCAAAGGTGTTGGCCAGGACCTCACAGGGCTCCTCGCAGAGTTCAAACAAACCACCATCATGCATCAATCAGCTTCAGCTTCAATCTCTAGTAATAGCTGTGGAGCAATTCTGCTCCAAGCATGTGCTTAAGACCACTTCTCTACTTAATTCACTTGAAAGAGGAGGCAGATCAGGATTCTGAACAGAAGTTACCACAATGTCATCAGAGAGATTTCAGCCTGAGCAAGCACCAACTCAAACTCAGCTGGAGAAGACAACAGTAAAGAGGAGGAAGGTTTTGCCCACCCCTCCCAGCACAAAGGCTCTGTGTTTGCACTTCTTGAGGATGACATTTGGAAGATAAACTTCTGGTATGTATGGCAGTGTACAGACTTCAGGTCTGTGTGGTTGCATTTTGAACACCCAAGTAATTGCTAATCTGATAGTGCATTTACTGATATGACTAAGCCATCTTCTTTCACACACACAGAAAACATGCAATCCATAACAGGCACGATGAGAAGTATCCTGTCAGGAAGACTAAAATTTTCTACAGAAATTTCTTCACACATTACAATTATTCCACCTATAGAAACTCACCATTTTCATCTATGAACACATGCATTGCATCCACGGATAGCTCATCTTGTACAGACGCCTCAGGTCCACTTATTACTTGCAAGACAGAACTGTCTTGCTGAGAAGTTACTCGGTAGATTATCTGCCTTTGCCTGTTGCCCTGGTAACTTGACACAAAAATGTTTCAAAACTACTATGAGGAACTTTTTTCTTGCTCTCAATAAAACAGAAAGAAGGAGAGGTTAATTAAAAGTTTGTGTCATTTCTACTCAATGAAACAAAACAGATTACATCATATCTTTGAAGTACAAAATTGTAAAGTAAACTGGCCTTACAGTGCTGTAAATTTGGCAGACTCTGGTAGTACTGGACTAGTACTAGCACGATCTTGGCTTTGTACATCTGATCTTTCCTGCTTAGGAAGTTGCTCACGGTGCTTTTCTGTTCCCATCACTTCTTCTTTTCTCTCTGTTGTCTGGCTATCTGGAAAACAGGGCAGTGAAGTAGAGACAGTCTCCACAGATGACTGTCAAGAGTGTTGCTCATTACAACTGCACAGAAATATCTTAAAGAAAAGCTAAAACAACAGCAAACACTAGTTTTATGAAAAACATTAATATGACTTACATAATTCATTTAAACAACTTACAGAGCATTTTGGATGAGGAGATATTCTGACCTGATAAGCAAACACACTGTTTCAAGAAAAAGCTGCATGATACAAAGGACAAATGAGTGAGAATTTCTGCTTTCCTTCTCTTCATCCAGAGGCAGTAATCTTCCCTGACCCATAGCAGTAAGAGTCTGCCTTGTCAAGAACTACAGCTTGCTTCCCAGCTATGCATACTGACAGCAGAAAAGCAGCAGTGCTGCCTCACTCCCTTATACAAAAAGAAGGGAAGCATCTTCAAAGGAACTAAATCTGGAATTTGCAATGGAAACTACATAGCTACTCAACTTCTCTTCCTTAGTAGTCACACTCCTGATGCAGTACAGAGAAAAACAAGCTAAATAATTTCACAGAAGCTTCCCCTATGTTTGGAAAATACTGAACTACAGATTTTTAAAATACACACAATGGATTTGTCCCATTTCTACTAAACTGGATACACCAATTTATATCACCTCTTTCAAGTTACATCATTTATATAAATATATATATATGTGTGTGTGTGTGTGTGTGTGTGTCTCATTTATTTCTACATATAAAAAATTTCAAGTGATGATCTCTTCTAGTTACTTATGCTCACACTGAACAGCAAAACATTTTGCAATTCCACTGCAGGATTTTAAAGTGCAACAAACACTGGTTTCATCACCATCATAAGTTGACACACAACTAAATATTTAAGAAAAAAAAATGTTGTGCTGCTAGAGATGCTGCAGTGTCTCCTGTAGCTTCTTTGCTTCTTACACTTAGCAAGGCATATGGATATGTATTACCCAGACTTCTAGCAATATCTGCTGCTTAAGCACCTAAGAAATGTAATCATCAAGGAAAAAAACAAAACAAAACAAACAAAACACAGAAATTCCATTTGCTAAACCATATTTCTTTCCAAAACAATTACTATCCCTACCTGCAAGAGTCCCCAGTCAACAATCACTGTTATCACAGCTAAGATAATCTAAGGATAAAACAGGTTCAAGGTTTCCAGAGAGAAAAGTACTAACTTTCATTAGGCCAACAGATACCACTGAAGAGAGCAGGCCGACTTTTGGATGCACAGACCTTCCTGACTCCATCCATGATTTTTTCCAGTCACATCAGCTGCTCTAGCAATATTTTCCTTCTATAAACCTACCTGCCTTCAGGAATTAGGGCATCTCCACACCAACACAATGCAACAGTTTCAATTAACAAGACATAATCTTTGAGAATCTTAAAGGCTCAGACACCTGCACAAACTCCTCAGCCTCACTGCACAATGGTAGAATCCCTTCTCTCTGGAGACAACACCCACTCAATTATTTTTATTAAGAAAAGTAAAATCCAGAAGAATAAGAACAACTTTAAGGGTACCATCACACTTTGACCCCAGCAGGTCTTGGCCCTTAGCTCAAAGCACAGCAGGCAGTATCAAATGTGAAGAACCTCACCAGGGCCACAGACCACAATCACAAGCCTAACCACATAGGGCAGAATGAGCAGTAGAAATAAAGACACCACATAACTCTTGCTTGAAACAGCAGCTCCTTTGGCTCCTGCTGAAAAATTTTTTTAAATGTCATTAGAACTGAAAATGTTCCAGGTCTTGTATCTCTTTACAGAGCACAAGGGATTTTGGCTTCATGTGCAGTATAGTGAGTATAAGCCAGGTTTAGGGAAAAGCTTTGTGTCTATTAAACAGGGAGACAAACTTTAATAGGTCTTACAAACCTACTTTCTCTTATTAAAACAAACAAACAAAACAACAGGTTGGTGGACTTTTCTTTCTTTCTATTCAAAGATTTTAACATTGCCTTAAACAAAAACGGTATCTTATTTAACCATGAATTACTGAAGCATCCTCTAAATCATGCAACTACCAGAAGCCATAGACATCTCATCAAAATCATCTTGCCAAAGGTTTGGGCTGTTCAAGCATTAATAAATGATAAAGATCAGAAATTGTGGTTTTAAAATCTAATTGGTCTCACATTGCCCAAAACTGGCTCTAGGGTTGAAACAAAAAAGATTTTTTAATTTGATTACCTGGTGGTTTCAGAAAACGTCTCTCTTCCCCATTCCAAACCACAAACCTTTCAGACTTTTTTCCTGCAGTAGTAAAGAGTCATGATAATAAAAACATAAACAGTCCTGCTTCTTACAGGCTTTATATGCCAATCAGTCAACACCTCAGTAATAAGTACTTCCAGCCCTGGACAGATAGGCCTCATGGGTTTGTGACTAGTTTTCATAAGCACTCATTTCTTCCAAGTGAATTACACCTTCAGAATTTAAACAGAGATAGGGATGTCTAGACAAGGAGTGTCCTGATAGGGTGCATAACAAGCTCCACATTACCAAAATGCTTTCTGGCAAAGCTTAACATTAAGCTACCAGGAGAAATACCATGACGAAAAGAAGAGTAAAAGCGTAACACACAGCACAGCTGCACATCACTAAGGACTTCGGCAAGACATGGAGCCAGCAGCACTGCTCCACAGCTCTGGTGTACTTGTAGCTGGGCCAGCAGAAGCCCCAGCCACAGGCTTGGTCTCAGCAAACAACTTGGTTGTGGATTTGGAAGCTACACGCTACATCTCAAGTACCAAGATCCATCGCTGTGACACTGCATGCAGATCTGGTCACCACAGTACAAAAAGAACACAGAACTACTTAGAGAGTGTCAAAGAAAGGCTGCAAAGATGGTGAAAGATCTGTAAGGCAGGTAGCACTGAGGTCCCCTGGGTGTGCCCATCGCAGAGCAGAGCTGAGGGGAGGCCCGATGGCGGCTGCAGCTCCTCACAGGGAGCGGAGGGGCAGCGCTGAGCTCTGCTCTGTGTGACAGCGGCAGGGCCCGAGGGAACGGCATGGAGCTGCGGCAGGGGAGGGGCTGTGGGGCTGGGGACAGGTGCTGCACCACAGGGCGGTGGGCACGGAACGGGCTGCACGGGGCTGTGGGCACGGCTCTGAGTGCTGGAGTTCAGGGAACGTTTGGACATCGCTCTCAGACAGAGGGTTTGGATTCGGGGCGGTGCTGTGAGGAACCAGGAGTTGGGCTCGGTGACCCTTGAGGGCTTCTTCCAGCTCAGGGTATCCTACGATTCTATAGCTACATCACGCCTGTGGAAGGATGGTGTACAAGAGTCCTGCACAAATACATAGGTGGAGGTCGGTATGCCTGTTTTATATTTTGGTTGAGCATAACATGTGTCCTGGTGAAATCCTTACCAAGATCACCAGGAAGAGTCTGACAGTTTTACAGCCTAAAGGGTACTTTAAAGCCTTCATAAAAATAGTTATCAAAATAAAACAACAGTTTAAATTTTTAGTCTCCGTTTTAACACTGCCTTAAATTTTATTAGGCAGAATGAAGTTTCCTTGGTCAGTAAATTTTATTCAGCATATCTTTATCATTTTGTGCCCTCTCTCCTGTCTCCCAGATGTTTTTCCTTTGTCTTTTACGTGCATATCCCCATTCCAATCTCCACAACTCAATCTTGCAAGTTAAAATGCCACTGCTGTCATAATTTCAAACACCATCTGTTTTGAAATCTGGTCAAGCAGAATTAAGCTAATTAAGCCCAAGCCTCTTCTGTTCTTTAATTGCTGTTGCAGAATCTACTTCTTCCCACAACACTAAGCTCCAAAATAGAAAGCTTCACTTTGAACTGCATTTGTTGCCTGCTTCATTGCAGAAATAACTTCAAGTCATTCTATGCTCTTGTCAGTACTCAGAATGAAATAGCTCTCTGACTAATGATATCTCTCCTTCATATCTGTGGGTAACATATTATAGACTAAAACCAGACAATTTAATCAACATTCCCAAACCTTCCTTCATCCTTTCTACCTTAGAAGAACCTTGCACGTATCCAGCCTGCTAGGTTTACACTTTTGTTGCCCTTTACTAAGTTGTAATTAAAAAACATTTTAAAAAGTAGTTTTGTTACCTCTATATATCAACTGTATTATATATTTTATATGCAGCCCAAGACAATTCCTCAGAACAGCCCAAGCAAGTAAAAATATTGGATACTCATGAAGCTTAAGTACTTTAAGTACACAATTTACATTTGCCTACTATGCTAGAAATACATTTAAAACAAAACAAAACAAAACAAACAAAAAAACAGTAGCAAAGCTGGTTACCCCCAAACGTCAGCAGTGGTCAGTAAATCTGCAATCCACTAATTGCTATAAAAGTTTGCCACAGGCAGTGAAGAAACACATAAGATCATCCATTAATCAGGATTACCACATTAATACTGAAGCAGTAGGAAAAACTATTGGTACTTGCTGTGCCTGTCACAAAACAGGGAAACGTAAGCACAGCAGTGACTTGCTCACAATAATCACCGAGGCCAATAACAGAGCTGGGAATAAAACCATGGTTTTTGAGGTCTCAGGTAAGTAACCTAATCATTAAAGCTAACAATGTCAGAATGTCAACCTCTGAAATAGCTTCATAATTTCTTTACAGGTGTCAGCCTTGCCCTTGAACACTAACATCACTTAAAAAGTCTGAAATTTTTAGGTCACAGCCTATGAAGCCTGTTTACAGCCTAAGCATCACAGTGAGCAAAGTGAGTTCTTCACCATCCCCCAGCCTCCATCCAAAGGGGCTTCGTGTTCCAGGCGCCTCCTGCCCCAGCCTCACATTTCAACTGCTGTTGGGGCTGGTGGCTCGATGCAGAAGATCAGTCTGCCCCATGATTACACGGCAGGCTGTAGCTCTCTTTCTTGCACGTGGGGGGAAAAACTAAGTCATCTAAAAATATCCACTTAAGTACATCTTAGTTTTTTATAGGAGCAGTGTAATTGCTAGGGATCCGAAAGAACTAACTCAAGGTTGTGGTTTCTGCACTGACCAGGACGATGAGTGCCTTTTCTAAAAAGAGCCTGAAAAACATCTCAATTCAGGCCACATGGTCCCTGTTCAGGTTCTGCCATGCGGGTTCCCACCACTCCCACAGCTGGCTTTGTCCCTTGGTGATAACACCGTCTGCTCCAGATTTCAAGTTACTTGTGGCAGAGGTGACATGGGCTCTCATCCTGTACAGATCAGGCGTGCATCTGTTCTACTGCTCCCCAGCATGGCAGAAGGACACAAAGCAGACCATAAGCCCAGTTTTCCCTACATAATACACAGGATACAGAAAATTTGCAGTTGCCCTTCCATAGGCTTTCATTATGAGGGCGGTGAAAAATTGATTCCGAACTGGAAGGATAGTGGTCCAGAAGTCATTTTTAGCAACAGTGGCAGTGGTACTTTCTCACAACATAGAAGAGATACAATGTCAACAGAACAGCAGCAGCTCTTAAAAGCTGGCTTTTTTACATCCTATATTTAACACATTAAATCTGGCATCCCTGCTAGTGTTTTCTTGTTTTGTATTTTACAGAGCTGCCTACTGGCAAAGGGTTTGCTGGGTGAAGATGATGCAACTTCTGTTTCCACACAATTCACAAGTGTGCGCAGGGTGCACACATCAAACAAAGAACCATCTACAATATTCACTCACTCACTTTCAAGACTGTTCTGATTCACGAGTTTTCCTGCCTTCTCCAAAATATGCAAAACATCAGCCTTCTTCCACACAGCTCCAAATACACAGCCTTCCAGGAACTTGCCAAGTTTCTCACATTTCCCAGTAAACACCTTTGTGAGGTGCATTTCATGCTCCCTTGGACTAGACCATCTGTTATTATCTTCTGCCAATTAAGTGGTTTGCAAGGTCAAAAGAATAAAGAAACAAAAAGACAACCTCCTCCTTCAAAACGATGGGTGCATAGCTTTGCCCTGCCCTACATTGCCTCCCCTCCATTACATTTTTTTTTTTTAACAACCACTTTAAAGAGGGAATGTTTATTCAAATCTGCTTTAAAATGCTCTTTTGTTAAAAGCACATTTGTAATTGCAAGGCTATAAACAAATTAGAGGCTTTCTCATTCCTAAAATCAAATCTTACTGCGGGGAAGCTGCCAGTAATGACAGTAATTTATTTTTGCAAAGAGCACATTCTGACTAAGCAAGAAAATAAATAAAGCCTACTTGTTGTAAATAGCAACTGTCTTTGAACTACATCTCCCCAGCTTAAGAAGTTCAGACTGAGTAGCCTTTTTCCCACAGCATCAACACGAGGTCTGCAGACACCACACGGTGACCAAAGCCACTGCAGTATCACTCCCCTACCCAGGAGGACATTTGCAGGTCTCGTAACAGCTCAGCATGCCCCAAAAAAGCACAGGGCAGCTTAGCTGTGTGCAGATTAACTCCAATGCCTGACAAACATATAGACTTCAGAAAATGGAAAGGTAAGGAATTCACATTTGGCCGCTTCAAATATCAGATTGGTGTTGAATCCTCATGTTTCCCAAGGACTTCGGGTTTGAACGAAAAGAATTTAGCTTGCCAGATCTAAACTCCAATAACCATACATACATGAATCAAGTTTGTTCTGTATGTTGTCATGGAATTCATGAATAACCTGACTTATTCTGATTGCTTTCCTTTACAGAGACAGTTCTCCCTTCTCACGTTACTCTGAAAATTACTATTCATCTGAAAGCCATTTAATTCTATAAATGCGACGTTCTGAAACCACTGGTGTGTTTCCCATATAATGAAAGCTTTTTAGGGGGGAGAGAGGAGGTAGAGGAAAAGAGATGTCTGAGAAGCAGTCTATGGAAAAGAACACAGTTTTGACACATAGAGAAGCTGCGCTGCTGAGTATCAGTAAGTTCCCCAAGTTCAATGCAAAACAGGCATTTAGTTTGCTTCCTCTTAGGCTACCTTAGAACAATCTATTACAGCATCTAAAGTTCACAGAACATTTTGGAGGAGAAAATAGGCGGTCTCATTTTACTTTGGCCCAGATCTTCTTAACCAGGAAATAGCAGATCACTTGGCAAGTACTCCAACACTCCACGCAGCTCCACTGCACCTCATCTAGCATCCTCATGAAACAGGCTTTCTAGTCTTTTCTACACAGCTGCTAAAGACATTACAAGTAATGCTTCTTCCTAACAGAAAAGAGTTGGAGTTTGGTGACAGCAAGGAAAATGTTGGGTAAAACCAGATATTCCTATGCTAGAATTACAAACTAGATTGCATACAGGTTTTAAAATGAACTGATAGAAGCCTTTTTTTCTTTCCCTTTCTTTTTAAATATAACTCTTTTTCTTAAATGGAAAATGGCATGGTAAGATACTATTTTCCATAAAAATATCTGATGTTTTCAACAAACCCCACTGACAAACATTCTCCCATAAGCTCAAATATTTTAGCCTTCAGCAACTCTTGAGAAACACATTGAGAATGTGATTGTTTTATTTTTAACTACAAAGCTACACGTATCTATGGAGGAAGCTGAGGAACACATGCACACGAGTTATTTAGAAGTTGAGCCACCACTAGTGACAAACCCAGCTTTCTACATACTCAGACACACACAGGTGACTTTTCAACATGCACCTCGTAAGAGAAGGTACAAAACTTTAACTATACACATTTTTTTAAGAATTTTTCTTGATTTTTACACCGTCCAGGTCTGTCACATGCACAGAACATTAGATATGGACTAGACACCTATTGAGGTTAGCATTAGCTTTTTCAAAAGGTGTCTTTAAGAAAATGTAATATTCAAGAAATTGCAGCTGACACTATCACACTTTCCTGAAATCATCCTATTCCAATCAAGCCCAGCCTTCCACCAATTAATAACAAAACCAATTCTCCTCTCTGTATTCACTCTACTGCAGATTTCAGGCCAAGCTGCTATAAACAATGTAACTAATCTCAACCTTCTTATTCCAAAAGTTGTAAATCATGCATCATACCTCCAGCAGGGACATTTTCTTTTGTAACCTCCATTTTGACAGTAGATTGATTAGATGCCTTCATCTTTGAGGTATTAATGGATTCCAGAAGGGAGACAAACTCTAGAAAATTTGACTCATTGGGTACCTGTCCTTCTTTAGCTTCTAGATCAGATTTAGAAGTAGGTAAAGTCTTCTCTTTGTCAGATGCCTCCACTGAATTCTTATTTAAAAGCACATCTGTACCACTGTCTACACTCAGCACCCGCATGTGCCTCTTTTCATGAGCAGTTCTACAGGATTGAGGATCTAGGCTCTGTAGTTCTTCCTTTGGACTCAAACCCATGTTTTGGACATTTTCAGAAGCCTTCTTCTGATTTGGATCTGAACAAGTGTTCATTTCTGAAGGAGCATTTACTGGATTGCTGTGTTCTTTTACTCCATCACCAGATTCATAGCCAGAGCAGTGGTTGGATGACAGATCAGTCCTCAACATTTCTGGAGTTCTTTCACTTTCACTAATTTCTGGGTAGTCATTACCTTTGCTGTCATCAGACAAATCAAAAGTTATAACAGGAATTCTGAGCTGTTCATTAGTCTGCTGACTTTGCCAATCTGCTGTGACTATACCGGACTCAAGAGCTGAGCTTGTTCTCTCAGTACCCAGAGCCCTCAGATGGACAGAGCCTGCTAGATCACTGAGGGTGCTGTTTGGTGTGCTGCTCATTGTGATGACAATTTTAATGGGCTCACACAGTTGGTCTCCAGGAAGAGAGTTGTCAACAATTGCAACAGCAGTCTCACTATCCGAGCAGTCAAGGTCTTCATTGGTACTATCAGCACTGCAAGAACTTTCCACAAGCTCAGGATCTTTGGTTGCAAAAGCACTGCACTGTGGGCAGTTACTGGTAAAGCTTGCCTGCAGTGAGCCATCTGGTAATTTCTCTCTTTTCTGGTTTCTCGGATTACTTAAATGGTCTGAAATAACTGAATTTTCACTGTCCCATGGTTCCAAAGAAACTCCAGTCCTTATAATATCACCTTGCGATGAAGAAATATTAGAGAAATTTTTAGCTGCATCTTTGTCCATGAGAACAACTTGTGATGCATGTTGCTCATTCTCTCCGCTTTGATTTATTCCAGTTCCACAAAGCGTTTCCACAGCAGCTGGTTTTGACACTATTGCTGATGTTGTAGAACCTGATGCAGAGGCTGAGGAAACTGGTAATATGTCTCCTTTGATACCAGGTGAGGTAGATGAAATTGGTGGTACAGACTGGTCTTCTAATACTGTAATCCCTAATAAAAGATGTAACATGAGTTAGGTTTTGCAAACAGGATCGCTATACATTATCAAGGTAAAATATTTAGCTAGCAAAAACTGCAAGGAAATCTGCAGTCAGAAGATGCTTAAGGGTTTTAACATGTTACCTGAAGACTGGCTTCCTCTTTTAACGTGTTCCAGAGACACAGAGTTTCCCAGGAGCATGGGAGGAAAACTCTTTAATATCTCTATATTAAAAAATAGGGAAAGCTACTTGCATTCTCACCAAAAGGCTATAGTCCAAACAGCTCAGCTGACAGCTGAGAAACCGTCTGTGAGAACTCCCTTAAGATTTTGTTATCTTTTCTATTCAGATCCTAACATGAGGCATGACTGATCCTGCTGCAGGGTCATCTGTGTCTTTTTTTTTTTTTTTGTGGCAAGCAAGGATTAAATAAAAGTTGAAAAGGAATCATAATGCCTTCAGATACCTTTGAGATCTTCAATAGTTTCCCGTGTTGGCAGGTCCTAAAAACAAAAACCACACAAAATTGGTAAGGCTATATATTAACTTCTGTTGGAAGAAAAGAAATAGATGTAATGCAACAGATCAGTGCAATAGTTAACTAATCAAAGGTTAATTACAGTGCTGGTATTCAATAAAATCATTGAAATTTGGATGTGTACCTTCCACAAAATACAAAGGGTGGGTGATGGAGATGGTTATAGAACAGCCATGCTCCAAATTGCATCATTGTAATTGTGTGTGTTATATCTGGGGAGAAAGAAAACTGAAGATTTTATTTTTAAAAATATTCCACGGCGCCTAATCTAGACCTTCTTAAAATAGTTCATCTTTTCCACTTCCCATTTTAGTGATTTAAAAACATGTAGCTGAAAAAGTTTGGTCTCCAGTACTTGGTAACAATTTCTCAATGAAAAATTAGAGGAGAAAACCATAAAGTTATCCTACAATCATTCAGATTGCAAGGAAATTACAGAGGTCATTTAGCCCAAACTCTTCTCCCCTACACACACATACTCAAGGCAGGCACAGTTAGAGCAGGTTGCTCAGGACCATATACAGTATAGCTTTGAATATCTCCACGAATGGAGATTTCACAGCCACTCTGGACAATCTCTTCCAGTATTTGACCACACTTTCAGTTAAAAAAAAAAGTAAATGAATAAAACTTTTTTTTTTTAAATGTATCCAACTGTACTTTTGTCCACTGTCTCTTAGTCTTCCACCTTGTAGCTCTGAGCGTGCTCAGTCTTCTCCATATCCTTCCATTAGGAAAGTGAAGACAGTACATTCTTTTAGTCTTACATAGATTTTAGGACACCTGCCTGTCCTCATATATCTAATGCCTTATTCCCCAGTGATCACTGCCAGTGGCCCTTGTTGGATTCTCACAAGCAGGTCAATGTTTGTTATGCAGTGGAGAGTCCTGAACTACACAATACTGCAGAGAAACATTCTAGGAGCAAGAATGGAGAACTAGCGAAAAGTTACCAGGAAAAAATAATATGGATCTCTTCAGGCTGACACGCACCAAAATTAAGAGGAAATAATTATTACATCCTTCTATTTCATAGTGGTAGCCTGGCAGCAAGAAGAGGAGATTAGGTTTGACTAGACCCAATCTACATGTTTGGAAATGAGAGACTCAGACAAGTTTCCTGGAGAAAAAAAAATGAGTTTGCAGACTGGACAAATACCAGAATACTGGGGACCAGGACAGAAACAAGGTGGAAAATATTTTTTCTCATAAAAGAAAAATTGTTAATGTCTGTGAATCATACAGATGCTACAAAAAGGTAGAAACAGTCCAGGAAATGAGGAAATACTTTTGATTCAGAATAATTTGAAGTAAATAAGGACACAAAGGGGGAAAAAAATGAAGACAGTGAAGTATCAAATAGCTACTTATTCAGAGATCACTAACCATCCTCTGCACTGAATGAGGCAGGAGTCCTGTAGAAAGAACAGTATGGGGTCACATAATTAAACATGTTATCACAGTATACTTGGGGAGTAGCTTAAGATAACACAGACAGCATTCATTCTGTTTCCTAATTTTTGCACACTTTATTCTTCAAACTTCTTGTAATTTTCTTAAATAATGCCCACAAAAACCACTTTCATAACTTCGTACAGTAACTGATTTAGAAAGCATGGCTAGTAATGTGGAATCTATGTATTTTTAACCTCATGTAGCTTAACTCCTAGATTTTAATCAGGTTTTATGTTTTAACTATCAAACTGTAATTTTATAACCGTAAGTCCAGTTATACAAAAATAAGTTACCAACGCTTCAGGAGCTGACTCCTTCTCAGGGAATGAGAAACTGCCCTGACTGCATTAGCTTCTTCTTTCTCTCAAAGCAGCCTTGAAAACTAATTGACTTTGGCAAGATTTTCAAGTCATTTAGTATCTATAGAGCATACAGACATCTCTTGAGACTTACAGAATTATCTACAGCAGGTTCAGCTTTGTAAAATTAAACTTGTGAGACAAGGCCAAGGCTAACCAATAGCTGTAGCCATACAAAGTATCCTTCCAACTTGGAGCAGACCTGCTTTCAGTCAGCAGCATCTGACTGCACAAAATTCCATGTGATAAGAACACAATGTATAAAGTGAAAACGTTACTACCAAAAAGCATACTAACCGTTGCCCCAGATGAGCTCCGTGAGTGAAGAGCTTCTAGCCTCAAACTGTCATGTATTGTGGGGGTAGAGCCATTTTGGTTGGTCTCACCAATTACACCATTATCCCCAACGTTATTGCTGGAAAAGGGAAAAAGGAACCAAGTTATTTACTTACCTCCCATCAAACAATTGTTTGAAATGCAATGCATAATGTCTATTCATATAATCATTGGACCATAAAAAGTGAAGTTGTTCCCTTTGACTTAATTAAAAGAAGCATACATTACAGGCAGCTAGTTAATCATTTTCTTGATGGATGCATTCAGCTATTCACTACACGTTTTAAACATTTTCTTTTAGGTTTTCCATGGATGTGAGCAAGCATTTTTGCAATAAAAATTTACTCGGAATAAGTAAATAATAAATCCCCATTGTGACAAAATGTTAAAAAAAAAAAAAAATTGTTTTCCCAATTTCAGCTTTAAAACCCTACAGCTATATATAAGCTATAAAATTATTTTTCCTGGGGAACTTTTTCTGTAGTTAGCCGACTTCAGAAACTTGTTCAACCAACACACCAAAGCCTGTTTAAAAACTATCAGCCAGCTAGCCAACATATTCTTTATTTTCTGATCAAGAGCTGAGACTGCTGTGTCTATGACCTCCCATATGAAAAACCTGAAATGACTTTACACACAGGTTTTAAGAGATGCTACTTCTAATTCTTAGTCAAAACTAAGGCAGGATAAGGAAAGTTAATGAACAGAACAAAAATTGAGCTTCTGTTTAAATTTGAGCCAGCCTAGAACAGATGAGCCTCTCAAATTACCTTATCAGATATAAATAGGAAACGGCTTTGTGGGCTAGTGAGAACAGAGCCTGAAAGGCATCACTCAAACAAAAATAAATCCTTTGTAAGGTAATTGACTTATGAGTGGCATTTCTGAGAAGAGCCTTGGTGCACGCAGACCTTGACAATACCAGCAAAGTTGCTGCTAGGAATGTGCCAGAGACATGCCAAAAACACAAGAGAACAGCACTACCGAGGTATACAAACAAACCTGATACTGCACAGCTTGCACAGAGCCAGTGGTAGCAGAGCTTACCATAGCGACTGTAAACACACCAAAACCAGAACAAGTTCACAGATACAGAGCTCTCAGTTGAAGCTTGGCAGCTGTAACAAACTACTCCATTTAAGCTATGGGTGGACATTTTATGCTGCAGCCACTGCTGGATGTACCATACTTCAGGTTCTTTCACATCTGCTGTAGAGCTTGCAAACAATGAAAGCTGGCTGCCAATTTCATTTCTACGACTCAAGCTTGAAAAAATGGTAAAAAACAAAACAAAACAAAAAAAAAAGTCTCAATTTATTCCAAAAAGTTTCCAGCAGAATATTCTACATAGACACAATTCTGGAAAATCTTTGTTCCAGTCTACAGCCAACATTATTTTTTAGCTTTAATACCATATCAACCCAGAAGCAGACTTACTGACTGTGATTATTTATTTGCAGTACAGAGGAAATGCTGGAAATGCCTACCCAATGACCTGGGAAATGAGAGTGGCTCTAACTTTACTCTTGAAGAGTACCACAGAAGAATTATGGCAGTCAGAAAAAGGAAAACAACGTACACATCTAGGCTTGATCAGAGGATGAAAGCTGTTATAAACGCACAACACCAATTTGCACTCAGGCTTTCAAAGCCATGATAGAAAAACATTTTGTTTGCCAACAGGTGCACATAATTTCCTTGTCCCTTTCCAGCAAGTTTTGTATGAACTTTCACCAGTTTCCCAGAAGTTGAAGCAGGAACAAAACACATTTTTCTTTCTGGAACAGCTCTTCTCTCTCACCCTCAAAATTCTTTAGGACAGGGATAAAGCCAGGAAGAACCTCTGCTCTTCCTTCGGCCTTTAACACTTCTTTAGAAACTCCCAGTTTTCCTCCAGGAGCTTTTAGCTCCTCCCAGACAGGTCTCTTTCCTTCACATGGTCCACTGGCTGCCCCACCCCCAAACCAGGTGTAGCTCTGCCTGCTTCATCACAAGCATGCAAGAAACACTGAGAATAAAAGCACTGATAAGGGTTTTAGGAGTGCCACTCCCCACAAAACTGTAGGAGTTTTCTTGCTGTCAATGGGTATTTCTGCTGCACAGGACAGCACAAACTTATCAGTTATATACAGTGTACCAGCAACACGTAATGCAAAGCTTACCTATGATTTGAGGGCGGAAGAACTGTGTTTTCTTTTGGGACCTCTGCATCTTTACACTGCCTTCCATTTTTTCTTGGGACCTGTTGTTGAACTGCTTCGCCTTTATCAAACATAAGGTGCAGACGGTAACTGATCACCTTAATTGCTGTGAAGAACACTGTCACTAAGCTGCAGTATGCAAAAGCTGTAACTGAATTTGCTGGAAAAGCCTATAGAAAGGAATAATAAGGACATCATCATACAAGTTTATTATAAGAAAATGCTGCTACATTTTCCAATTTATATATATTTCTAATTGTCTGTTATTTGTACCTCTACTGAGTTTTGCAGACACAAGTACTGTATCTCCATACACAAGTCTTGAGTTCTACTCATCAGAAAGTTCTAAACATTTGCTCAAATTTCAAACCATTTATTCTTCTTTTGATTAGCTATAGGTAGTTTTTTTTATTAATTTTATCTCAAAGTCAGTAAAAGCTCACAATTAGCAAACACTGTTAGAACACTCTCAAAACACCCCCTTCCAGTACTCGAAGGGAGCTTATAATCAGAGAAAGACCAATTTTTTACATGGTCTGATAGTGAGAAGACAAGAGGGAATGGCTTTAAAGTAAAAGAGGGAAAATTAAGATTAGACACAAAGAAGAAATTCTTTGTGCTGAGACCCTGGCACAGCTGCCCAGAGAAGCTGTGGGTGCCCCATCCCTGGAGGGGCTCAGGGGCAGGTTGGATGGGGCCCTGGACACCTGAGCTGCTGGGTGGCAGCCCTGCCCACAGCAGAGAGGTGGAACCATATGGTATTCAAGGTCTCTTCCAACCCAAGCCATCCTATGATTCTGTGAAAATTTCCCATTCCCAGAACAGTACAGCTTTTTATCAGACACAAAACAAAAGATGAATTATCCACAAGCAGGAAACTCCTTTTGAAAAAATTGTCACCTTACCATTCCTCAGCTATGAGAATAATGCTAAAAACACTAAAATGTTGTAGTTTAATTGCTTTTTTTTTTTTTTTTTTAAACACTTCACAACATCTCCTATTGCCTCTACTGCTGAAGAATTTAAAAAAAAAAATCAGGATCAGTCAAAACAAATAAATGCTGTGCATTTGGAGAGAGGCAGCTTCTTTGAATGCTTTTTTTCTGAAGTTCATAATCATTAATTTGCAGCTGTCTGTGTCTGCTGATTTGGGATGGGCACCATATCTCTTATCATTACCATGAATTATAGTTCAAATACAGACATCAGTACGTCATGTCTGTGAAGGAACTGCACTCTCTTATGTAAATACTTCCTTACCGTGAAGAAAAATTCATAATAAATACTTCCAGTTACATTTGAAGGGGCAAAATCTTCATATCTATGGTCACGAAACATCCTTACGTATGGTTTTTATTTAGCTGCAGTCTCAGAGAGATCCAATTTCATGCCCTAAATCTATAATTGTAAATACCAGCTTTGGAGATCAAGGATCATTTCAATTTAAAAATCATTTCAGACTCAGAAATAAACCACACTGCGCCCACATAGATAAAGAAGGGAAGGGAATGAGGTACATTTACTTCATCTCTAAAACAAGACACCACATTTATCTTGATGCTGAAATGAGTATGCTGAATCATTTCTGTGTTATCATGAGCAAATGAGTTGCTACTCCTCTGCTGCATTTGGCTTTTCAGGTAAATTCTTTCTTAGGACTATTCCGATTCACATGGAATCATCAAATATCTTGAGATGGAAGGGACCCAACCCCTGCCTCCACACAGGACCACCCAGAAATCGCAACTCTGATTTCTCACAGCTTGGGGCTGTGACCACTGCCCTGGGAAGCCTGTTCCAGGCCCCAACCACCCTCTGGTGAAAAACTTTTTCCTGATATCCAACCTGAACCACTGCTGAATTTATTATATAAAGTAGAGAAGCTATCCAGCAGGTATAAATTACTAACAATACCTAATGAGAAAGACGTTACTTTCTACAGATCAAGTCTAAGCTTGTTAAGAGTACTTCATTTTATGTACACACGCTACATGTATGTGTACACCAGAACTCAGCATGCTCTTTGGTCATTTACTGTATCTGGGCCAGAAAGAAGACGTATTTGCAAAGCAGTGCTCTCATGATAGAAGGGTTGGTAGAATTTGTTTTTATGACTAAAGCATTTGCAAAACACAAGTTAAAAATCATTTGGTTTCACAAAGAATGACTGCCAAATGTCTGCAAGGATTTGTTTCAAAAAGATATGTTCACTTCCCAGGAAATCTCTTCAACTACCCTCTAAAAGCATGGACTGCCCACTGAGGGACAAATAACACCTCAGAACTAGTCACCAGAATAGAAGGGCTTTATAGGTGACACCTATATGGCTTAATATATTTTAAATGAATAATGTCACGAGGACACAACAGAAATAAACTTCTAACAGCAGAGACTGTTTTTGCATTGAGTACAATACAGGAGAGAATCACCAGAAGCTCCTGAATTCCTAAGTAAAAGAGAGGATTGGTTCTAGCTAACACCGAGTGCTGCATGTTCCCATCCCTGCCTTCTGATCAGAGCTCCTGGATACACTCAGTGCTTCCCCACGGTCTGCTTGCACATCTGCCCAACATACAGCACTTCCCACGGGGTACATGTTAAGCATACTCACAATTCAAAATCTGCCTACAAATATACACATATAAAGGCCAGCATATTCCTAATATTCTGAATCTTGGAAGAAGCTAAGTAGCGGAAGCTGGCAGCTTGTTCCAATTCCACACAAGGAATTGGAAGAAAGATGAAAGTGAGGATGGAAAGCCTTGGACTTTCAGAAACAAGCCTCTTGCATAAGGGTAGAAGTGTCATCTGAGTGCAGCTGGTGTTCCCAGGGACGGATACGTGAAATCTACAAAAATCTGCATGAGCTAGGGGAAATTAAATTACAGACCACTGAGGAATTATATGATAGACTCACTTTTGCTGTACTGGAGTTATTATTAGCCTTGTTTCCTACAGAAATTAGGTTTTATAATCACATCATGTGTCTGTTTGCTCATCTCTCTCCAGCCCTGCTGCTGCAGAACTTTTTAACTCTTTGGCAACTGTCACCTAACTTCAGTAGAACACATCCCTCCTTGGAACAGGCCAGTAGCTTCCAATATCAGAACACCGTGGGCAACAGGCAGACACTCAGGTTCACACGTTTGAAATGCCACCTGGCTTACTGCTGCAGATGCAGCACGGTTGATGTGCCTGTGCAGACAGGACATCTGCCTGGGGCTGCTGTCAGCCCACAGGCCACTGCCATGGAAATGGCCAACTTCTCCCCATGTCTACTAACATTATTTGGGTAGCACAAAGGTGGAGGTGTCTAAGGTCCTAATATAAAGACACGTAACCTTCGACCCAAATACCACATCTGATAAATCAGACTGAATAATTAAGTTGTTTAGACCCAGACATAACGCACCTGATGCATCTAAAGATAGATGCTACCTACATTGCCTTCATCTCAGCCTTGGTTCGCTACAGCACAAAAATGATGGAAAACATGCAGTCAGTAACTACAATGAAACTTGGTGAAGAAAGAGGGGGTATACCATAGCACTGAAGCCAAAGATACATACTTTGATGTTCCTTTAGCTGAATTAATATCTAAGAGATGTCCTTAAGACAACATGGAAAAACACGTAGCAAATCCCAGGGGTGTAAACTCATTTTTAAGAGTGCATTCTATCTACTAATAAATATGGTAAGAGCTGTGTAGTTTATCTATCTACTCCAGTGATACGCATATCCTTACTGTCACAGAGGGTGAAAGTAGGTTAAAGTGTGGTCAACTGAGACTGGAAGCAGCTAACATGCTGCCAACTTTATCACAGTTTACCTCTGAGTAATTTGTTTACGTGCCCACACCCTTATACTGCCACGTTATAGTTATTATGGTATGACTCGAAGACCTAATGTTCAATTCAAGAGCTTCCTGTCCAACAGAAGACAGGAACAATCACTAAGCTATCTCAAGGGCTCACAAAAAGGCAGGTGCACACTATCTTGAGGCTTCTAGAACAGGCTATAATACAAGCACCCCCAAAGTCATCTCTATGCTTTACTGGTGTTACACTGGGGCTGACCTCAGCCAGGTGGCTCTGCTTAACAGTGTCACTAATGTCACACATACACACAACACCTGGGAGCCCTGTGCTATTTGCTACTTTATTCCACAAATCATAATCTATTATGAGATCTGACATGGCAAGTTTAGAAGATAACCTAATAATACTGAAAGTTGATTTTTAGTCAACTTTTTAACGGTGTTCCAAATAGTTTTCAGTGTATATTTTTATTTGCATATCTGCTGCTACAAGGGCTAAATGAAAAAGACAACACACAGAACTGCATTTTCAGGAAGGGGAAGTTCACAAGGGAACAATTAGTACCAAAGTAAGCTGTGCTGACAATGCTAGAGAACAAAATCCTCGATCCACACAACAGAAACAACTTGATACTATAAGCTCCCCAATGCTACTGTCAGCACATCTCAGCTGAGCTAGTGTGAAAAATTTAAAAGCAGCTGGATGAGTTCTGCCACTTCACTCAAATCAAACTGTTTCAGGGAGACTTTCTGACTTTGTTAAAGGCGTAACTAAGACAATCTAAAGCAAAGGAACATTTTGAGTAATAGCACTCTGATTTGTTCTGACTTTGTCATTTCAAGAGACATTTGTGACTGCTTAAGCTGATTCCAAAGTGTGTAACATGAACACCACCCCAAATTTCGCCAAAGATTGTAAGTAAAATTCCCCAAAGAAATCCTTCAATTAAAAATAGAGGTTCAAGTTTCTAAGTGGCAAGAATATCTGTCGTGCACAAAGTTTACAAAGCCTAACCACTTAAAAGCAGGAAAACAAATACTTCAGGACATCATTACTTGAACAGGCAACACATAAATGCATTATTCTTATCAAGGATAAAGAATTCCCATAGCGACACATTAGCTCAAGAACGCAAGTCCTTCATTTAACCAGATGATTCATCAGAAAGCCAGCCAGTCTGCAGGATCGCATCCATCAAGGCAGACAAACATGAAGCCCAGAAGAAAAAAAGGTTAAACAGATAAATTTGGTTTTCTTCTTCTCCCTTTACATCATTTCTTGTGTTTTACGTTTGCTTTAAACTACACTGCCCTTTTGTGCAACACTGTGAGTTCTGAAATTTCCCAGAAGGCAACACATACTCTTCTAGATGTATACCTACTTACTTTAGCTGGAAAAGAAAGTTAACCTTCACCTTCACATTTTTTTCCTCATCTTTTTTTGAAAAATCATGCATGTCACTTTGGCAGCAGTTCTTAGCACATTAGGCTCTTGCTGGCTTGCAGAGGACAGAGTCTCCATCCACCAGAAAACACAGTAATCTTGATTGAAGAGCTCCACAATCCACGCTTACAGGGATCGAGCACAATCCACATCAAAGGTACAGCATACTAATAGATTTTTAAAAATACATAACTGACTTCTCACTGGAATTCCAGGGAGACTCATGAATGCTCTTTGCAAATCAGGGCTATCTCTGACCATAGAATCATTTGAGGTGGAAGGGACCTTTAAAGGTCATCCAGTCCAATTCCTCATGTAGAGTGAAAAGACCTGCTTAGGATTTTTATCCCACTCAAAAAAAAAAAAAAAAAAAAAAAAGCAACAGTCAAGCTACAAACTTCACTTCATAAGAATCAAGTTGAGTCACTGCAAGAAATACTGCTAAGCTACAGTCACTGAGGAGTTCACTAATGCATGGATGCAGTGATCCAGCAAGCTGCTTCCCAGCTTTCCCCAGGTAGGGGGAAGCACACCAAAACTGAGTCAAACTACCAAGTTTTCATGGAAAAAAAAACATATTAAAGTTCTGCAAGCAAATCCCAATTAGTAAAACCACTGATCTGTGATGCTTAGCACAAGGTGAGCTGCGTTGCACGAGGAGCAACGCGACTCACCAATGACATTCAGGCACTTGACTTTCTGCTTGTATTCACCCCTGTCGGCTGGTCAGACCAGGGCGGCCGGCAAACAAACGGGGATCCGAGGAGCCTCCCCACCCCCCCACCTCCCCGCCTCCCCGGGCCGCCCCAGCACCGGGGCGCGGCCGCCTCGGGAGGTGACGGCGGGGACGCGGAGCCCTCGCCCGAGGCCGCGCGCCTTTGCCGCCGGGCCGAGGTGCGGCGCGGCCCCAACCCCCAGGCCGCTCCCAGCGCCCCCGCCCCGCGGTGCTCACCAGGTGCATGGCGAGGGGCAGCGTCAGTAGGAAGAGCCACAGATAGAGATGGCAGCTGTTGGTGAAGGCTCCCTGCTCCGGGTCGTGGTACCAACCGCCGGTCAGCGCCGCCCACACACCCTGCCCCACCAGCCGCGCCGCCGGCGACACCATGGCCGCCCCCCGCCGCCCCTCAGCCGCCCGCCGCCGCCGCCGCCGCCATGCCGGGCGCCGGCGGATTCTCCCATGGTGCCCCGCGACGCTGAGCATCCCGCCCCACCCCGGCCGGGCCGGGCCGGGCCGGGCCTCCCTCTGTTCGGCCCCGCCGCCGGGTCGATCCCGGGGCCGCACCCGGCTGCCGGCAGCGCCGAGGGGCGGCCGCTGCGGGCGCGCGGACGGACGGCGCCGCGGAGCCGCGTCCCGGAACGCGGCCGCTCGCAGGTGCGGGGAAGGCCCGGCCCACCGGGCGGCACCGCGCTGGGCCCGGCGCAACCCCCCCTCACCGCTACGGGGTTGTTTTACCCGATTCGTCGGTTGTTTGTCAGCCAAACGTCGGCTTGCTTGGTGGAACCCCGAGTTCTACTTTGAGTTTGATGACAACTGAGATTGAATTAGAGATTTTATAGTACGTGAGGGGTGTCAGAAGATAGTGTGTGGCACTGAGAGGGAACCAAGAGCAGATAGGCAGCACAGAGGACACGGCCCACATCCCTGTGCACACTTGAGGTAAGGGGTGTGAGCCAATGGATGCCATTAAACAGCCGTGTTTGAGAGGTAATTCACCACATAAGCTCAGCTCCCAGCGCAACCACATTAGATGCTTGTGCTGGATGCTTGACAGGTTTGAGAGCCATATAAACAGGAGGGATGGCACTGCTTCTTTCAGTGGCACAGTGCCTGCAGATATCTGTGGGACTACAGCCATGGGGAGAGGTATTTGCTTGGTTTGTCCTTGCCAAGAAGTCTTCTAATCCATAATCTTGTGGATGTCCCATTCCTGGATGCATTCAAGGCCAGACTGGATGTGGCTTTGGGTAGCCTGGTGTAGTGGTTGGCCACCCTGCACATAGCAGGGGGGTTGAAACTCGATGATCACTGTGGTCCTTTTCAACCCAGGCCATTCTATGATTCTATGATCCTATACGAAAGAGGCACAGTTCTAGCATTGTCCTGCATGCCGTTCATTAAACATGTCTTGCCTAACATCTCTCTCCCTTGGCAAGTGGAAATTTTTATTTTACCTTTTGCATACTAAGGCAGATTCTTTTCAAAGGTGACAAAGTTTGTTGACACGAACATCAAACGCAATCACCAGCCATCGATAATATGTTTATAGGCAGTGATTCAAAATATTAATTTTTCAGAAACCACCAAAATTGTTTCCCATATACATACTGATAAAAACATTTACATGCCGACTTACTATATAAATAAAAAGAGATGGGAAAACAAAGGGGTTCAAAATTGCCTCTCCTCTGTATCTCATGGGTCTGGCTCAAGCAGGTCATTATTCAGAAGCCCCAGGAAGGGAGGGCTTCATTGGAGTTGATGCAACACTGTTTCACTTTGGTGATCTGCCATCTCATCCCTCAAATCTTTCCACTCTTTCTGGTATAATCGTACTTGCAGGTCAGAAGAGGGGTGGTAATTTCAGCTAAGGGTATGTATTCCACACAGTGCAGGTAGATGCACAGTACTGTGCCTGTGGCTGCAGGGGAGTACCAGAGGTGGAAAACATGACCCACCGAAAGGTCAGTGACAAACTGGGCAGTCAACTTCACCAGCAACCTGCACGCTGTTCTTAATGATAACTCCACTAGGTGGTGCCATGAGAAAAGTTACAGGAGCTTCATGTTGCTCTCCGTAAAACTGCTCCCATTATTAGATAAGCCAGGAACAGCACTCACACACCGAGATCCTACAGTGCTCCGTGCTGCAGAAACTCCATAGGATAACCCGGGTGTAGCAATTGCTGGTGCACAGTGGTACTTCGGGGAGCAAATTTTTGAACACTAGCTCTAAATAAATATTTAAACTTTTAAACACTGTTCCGCAACCAACACCTTGTCTGACCCAAAACATTCCACAGTTAATTAGTTCCTGCAGATTCTTCAGATAAAGTTCAAGGTGGAATTTGTGTGGCAGAGCGCTTGTATTACAACATACTTTATGGCTTTTATAATAAGGCAAATACGCAGATAAGGAAAAGGTTTGCAATTATCTCTCTGAATAGCTGCAAGGCATTCTCTTATATTAAAGGAAATGCGAAAAGACGTGATAGACACGCCGGTTCTGCATTACTTCTTTTAGGTTAACGTGGTTCAGTAACCATCATAGCGTTTTATTTTTGTTTAGTGTGTCAGATACAGTTTCTGCTGCGGGACGAACAGGAGTTTATCAACTTTGTTCAATTCCAAGTTTCAAATAACTACGTCAAGAATTTAGTCGCGATACACAGCTGCAAATGAGACGGTTGCTGAGGGACGGACAGCACTCGACGTGCGGGCAACTGAAAGGCACAGAACGCGCTGATGATTCCGCCCTGCGGCACAGCCTCACACCTTCCCCGCGCCCTTTTATCCACCTCAGGCAGCTCCTAGCAGCCGCTGCTCCCAGCGCCACAGGCACAAAGCCCCCGAGGCGGCCCACACCCACTGTCGCGCTGCGCGCGCGCGGAAAACACCTACCTACCTACGCCTCCACACCCACCGCAACCCCCTACCTCCAACCCCATCCTAGCTCTCGCCGCCACGTGATGACCGGCAGCCAATCAGCGACGCAGAGCGGGGAGGCGGGAGCAGCGCCACTCCCCTCCCCGCCCTCTCCGCCCGCGCTTGCGCCCTACCTGTGTCAGCCCGGCGGCGCTAGGCCCCGCCCCTCCCGCGGCTCCCGCTCGGCGGCGGCAGGTGAGGATGCGGCCGGGCGGGCGCCCCCGCGGTGGCGGCTGCCTGGGCTGAGCTCGCCGCCATGGCCGCGCCGGGCGCCGGGGCGTCGGGCTCCGGGGGGCCGTGCCCGCTGTGGACGGCGCTGTACGACTACGAGGCGAGCGGCGAGGACGAGCTGAGCCTGCGGCGGGGAGACGTGGTGGAGGTGCTGTCGCAGGATGCGGCCGTGTCCGGCGACGATGGGTGGTGGGCGGGCAAGATCCGGCAGCGGCTCGGCATCTTCCCCGCCAACTACGTGACCCGGCAGCCCCGCGGAACGGCGGGTGACGAGCCGGCGGGCAGCCTGACCGAGATCGACTTCCAGCACCTGGAGCTGCAAGAAATCATCGGCGTGGGGGGGTTCGGCAAGGTGTACCGCGCAACCTGGCGCGGCCGGGAGGTGGCCGTGAAGGCGGCGCGGCAGGACCCAGACGAGGACATCACGGCCACTGCCGAGAGCGTGCGGCAGGAGGCCAAGCTGTTCGCCATGCTACGGCACCCCAACATCATCGCCCTGCACGGGGTCTGCCTGCGGGAGCCCAACCTCTGCCTCGTCATGGAGTTCGCCCGCGGCGGTTCCCTCAACCGGGCCCTGGCCGCCGCCGCCTCCTCGTCCGCCGCCGTACCCGGGGGCCGCCGCATCCCCCCGCACGTCCTGGTGAACTGGGCAGTGCAGATCGCCCGCGGCATGCTCTACCTGCACGACCAGGCCATCGTCCCCATCCTGCACCGCGACCTCAAGTCCAGCAACAGTGAGTCCCTCGGGGAGCCGGGGGCCCGGGGCGGGGGGCGACCGGCGGCCGACTCGGGAAGCGGCCTTCGGGCCTGGGCGACCGGGGGAATGGGGCTCTGCCGCACCCAAGGGTTGGGCTGGCAGCAGGTGGGTCTAGGAGTGGGTCGGTGGTTCTTTCGGAAAGTCTGGAGATGTGGGTGCGCTTGTGGGTACGACAGGACCGAGTCCTGCACATCTCAGGTAGGAAGGAGTGCAGTCAGAAGCGGAACGGGATGAAATCTTGTGCGTGGTCATAGCTGCAGTTTTATGAGATTTCCTTTACTTGGGCACGGTCTGCTATCCTAGCTTTTACAAGACCTTGGCTCGATATAGCTTTTAAAGGAAAGATTAATCATAGAATCCCAGAACAGCTTAGATTGGAAGGGAGCTTAAAGATCATCCGGTTCCAACCCCCTGCCATGGGGAGGTATGCTGCTGCTTGCTAAATCAGGCTGCCCAGGGCCCTGTGCAGTCTGGCCTTGAGTGCTTCCAGGGATAAGGCAAGTTTTGCTTCTTCTAATAATAAAGATATTGCTTCTGTTTCACTTCTGGACGTCTGCATGTGGTTTTGTCTTTCGTTTGATAAAATTCACCTGCACAGTGAGCAGTGGTGGGAAACAGTAGTTTGGAAAAGTAGAAACTCTGGTGCTTTCAGCTTTTGGTGTGGACAAAAGCACCTGAAAGAGCGAGGGATTTGTTCAGTTCATCCGTAATGAATTCCTCACCCATCTGTTGGAGCTGGTGCCTTAAGACAGTTGTGTTGAAGGCTGGCTTCACGGGGGTGGAGATGTTTAAGTCCCACCATCGTGGTTGTGTTTCAAACTAGTGGCCTGAAAGTGGAAATTTGTTCCCTTACATAAATGTTTGAAGCTGTCTCTGCAGTCCTGCTGGAAATTTGGCCCATTCAGAACAGAAATGTTACCCTGTTTTCAGTTGGACACCCTAAAGTGGTTAAGTTAAAATGAAAAAGCTTCATTCAAGTTTGAAGCATTTTGTTTGAAAGGCTTTTGTAGTGTGTCTTGAAGGTCATCATGCATGGATTGTTAAGACAAGGCTCAGTCATGGGACTGCTCCCGAGAACACTTTCACTATTTGTTTGATAAAGAAAGGACCTAGCTCAGCTGTATTTGTGGTTCTGATTGTAGCACAAGATGATGAACTCCTGGAACATTGCTTCAGGGTCTACAGACTTCATGGCCAACGCGTTAAATCCTACGCAGCTGTTAGTAGGCAGCTTGTATCCCAGTTTACTGCGCTGCTCAGACTGACTGCTGTACCTTTGCTACACTCCTCACTCCTGATGTGACAATGGCAAAGTCCACTTGAAATGAACTTGTAACCCTGGTTTAGCACAACATGCAGAGTTGGTGACTGCTGCGTACTGATTACCATTATAATCTCTGTGTATGTAGATAATGGCAGAGCCTTTTAAAAGTATGCTTTTAATTATAACCTTAATATTTGTGCTTATTCACTGCTTTTATTATTTACTCTGGTTGCCCATGTGATTGACTTTAACTGCATAGTTTTCTCACCCACGTTTCTTAATCGTGGTGAAGCCTGACGATGGTCTTGATCATCTACCTGAATTATAATGTTGGAAGTCAACAGTATGCTAGTGACAGAATGTACTGTTATCATTGAGTTGTAGAATCATTAAGTCATATTTTATATGAATTTAAAGGGACTGCAAATCATGGTAGTGTCTCCTGTTATGTTACTTGTCTGTTTTTCCAGGATTTCACTTTATTCTGTTACTGTCATCTTTCCCAACTTTTTGTTCCTGGGAGTAGAAGGCTGCTAGGGTGTGTGGTGTGCTTGGTGTGGGTAGCATCATCTTGGCAACATCTGTAGTCACAGACTGGGCTCTGGCTGCTCCTGTTGATCAGCTGTTGTTTGCTGCTTTCCACAGCTCCTTAGTGGTGGTGGTCAGTGTTCTCTGCAAAGTAATTCCTGATTGTTTGCCACTGTACCCATTTTGTGCTAGCTTAATGATTTTTTTCTGAGAAGGAGTTCTTCCTTAGACAGCAAACTGGAAAGATGACTTCCCTTAATAAGGCATGGTATGGGATGCCGACTAAAATATTTCATTTGCAAATACCTAAGAACTATGTTTTCAGCCCCTTCTACAACCATATTTGATCCGGAGAAGATAAATGTCATGACTTGTGGCTGTAGGCAATAGCCAAAGCAGGCTTCTTAAAGGCAAGTGTGTTATTTCTCTCCAATCCCTTCCATGAAGTTGGAATCTGTAGTACAGCGTGTCTGCTACTGATGTCAAATTGACGTGACTGGTGAGAGATCCTCACAGACTGAATAGTAGTAATGAGAGCAGTAGAATGTACTTTATTTTTTGACAGCAGTACCTGACTTCTTTTGTATGCACAAGAGTCTTTAGACTCCTATTGGGAGGAGGAAAATGGTGCTTTGTTTCTAGTAAGGCAACAAATGGATAGACATGCAAATGTTTTCAATATTTGGAGGGAAAAAAAACATCAAGCAATCTTTGTGAGAGCTGAGAAAGGGATTAAAGGGTGACTGCTGGGTTTGGTTGGTATCAGGGCTTCTTCAATTCTGGAGACCATGTAAAAACATTAATATTTAATGGTGATTTCAAAGTAGACAAAGCAAAGGTGTAAAGAACACTCAGCTTTTAAGTAGGTCTGGTGAAATGAAACATAATAACCATGGCTATTAATGGTGATTTGCAAATTGGCTGTGGGTGTTTAATAAAACCTTTTGCAGGTGACATGGTCGTAAGTTTCTTTGGAAAAGAGGAGTCTTTTTTGAGAGTATCTTTCTAAAAGCAGCTTTTATGATCTTAGATGCATAGACTAAGGAGGTTATCTAAAATTAGGGTGGACCTTACCTAACTAAATTCCAAAGGAAAATTTGAAAGTACATTTGAGGTTTTTCAAATTAGTATATATAGTTAAGGAATTCTGAATTCAGTAGTAATTTGAATGAAGTCAAGTATCGTAAACTGAAAAAACAGTACCTCCCAGGTACAGATATAGTCTTGGTGTGTTGTTACTGAAAATAAAAAAAGAAGAAACAAAAAAACAAGTTCGTCTTCAAGACCAGAAACTAGCAGCGAAACAAGAGAAGTAAGAAACAAGTCTATCTTTTTCTCCTTCTTCAAATCTCAGCATGTTTGCTGACTCTTTCGAAGGGTGACTTTTTTTTGTGGAGTGGCTTGCATTGGAAAGGACCTTAAAGCCTATCCAGCCCCCTGCTGTGGGCAGAGCTGCCCCCCCACCAGCTCAGGCTGCTTGGGGCCCGTCCAACCTGGTGCCCAAACCTGCAGGGATGGGGCACCCGCAGCTTCTCTGGGCAGCTGTGCCAGGACCTCTCCAGCTTCTAAGTAAAGAATTTCTTTCTGATGTCTAATCTGAATCTTCCCTCTTTCAGTTCAGAGCTTTTACCCCTTCTCTTCTCACTATCAGACCATGTAAAATATCTCACCCCACCTCTTCTGTAGGCTCCTTTTGACTACTGGAAAGTTGCAATGAAGTTTCAGAGCCTTCTCTTCTCCAGACTGAACAAGCCCATCTCCCTCAACCTTTCTGCATAGGAGTGGTGGTCCAGCCCTCTGATCACCTTCATTGCTCTTCTCTGGACCTGCTTCAAGAGCTTCATGTCCTCCTTGTGCTGGGGTCCCTGGTCTGGACACAGTACAGTCAATTTTCTCCAGTTTTTCTCTGGTTGAGTCAAATTATTTTCTTTTGGTCAAGGGCACCTCATTAATTAGGATGCCTCAGTAACCATGGTTATTTAGGGTCTCAGTACAGTCTTGTCTGTTCCTTTCTTAGGGGTCTGAATAAGGCTAACAATGTGTTCAGATAAAATGTGCAAGGCTTCAGTTTCTGAAGTCTAGTGTAGAGTAAGCAGAGGTTTGTGGTTTGGGGACTGATTTCAGATTGTGCAGTACTTCTGCCTTAAAATGTGTTTTATCTGTAGTGCAGCAGCTTTGTGTACTTACAGAAGACATAACAGAAAGTTCAGAATATCTTGCTTACGACATGATCCAATCTGTGAACACAAGGTGAAGCACAAAGCTAATTCTGTGAAGATTGTGTATATATGCATAATACTGGTGAGTCCTCTGTTGATTTGTTGTAGATGGATATGGAAGTAAGTTTTGGCTCACTAATTCTTCCAGCTTACCAGGATCGTTGTGGCCCTCAGTTTGCTGGAGTGCACGATGTTTGTATTACATATAGAAATAATCAAGAACAGGTTGACTTTCAAAGACTATTGAATAAAGCCAAGCACGTAACAGTTATAATGAGAGCAGTACTTGAAAACTGAAGAGGTCAAACATACAGAAGAACAATGAAACAGCAGTTGGACAACCTGCATTAATATTACATCCTTCAAAATAATCTCATGTAATAACTCAGAAAAGAGAATTTGGTTTTAAAATCTCCAAGTTTGACGTGGCTTTACAGGATTTCTATTGAATTGGTTGCTTTTGATTAAGGGTGGTGGTCTGGAATTTGAGGAAAACCAGGACAAAATAACCTCTGATTATTGTTTCTATAGATTGTTTGCAGCAGAACTGTTCAACATATAAAACAGCCTGAAAATAAGATGGAAGTGTTTTCAAGAACTCACAAAAATACTTTCCCTCGAACTTCCCTACCTAGCAGCTTCATGGTAGCTTTTGGGCTAGGAGATGAGAAAGAAGCTCCATGGAAGCTGGCCTGTCTCTTTACTGATTTTACTCTGAAATCAATGGGGTGCATAATCTGTCTCTCGGTTCTGTTTTGAAGGACTTGCTCGCTTCACCTGTAAAGTTGTAAGGACTTCTTATACATTGTTAAATGCTTGCATATTCAGTATCTTCTAATGTGTGACTATAGAGAAAAAGAAAAATCAAAATGAAGTTCTATTACAATTGGCTCGGGTAGTTTTGAGAGAGAACTGGCTTTTTTGCAGATGAGAGCTTAAACTCAGGATGCCCTCTAATGGTAGTGG